TATATATAATTTTTTTTTGAGCTTATTAAATTCTCTGGTGCCTCAGTTGGCGAGAGGCCCCAACGAGACGTCAGGCAGACTTGACTCTGTGCTTCTACACGGGAGGGATGGTTTGGGTAGGTCTACAGAGGCAGTCCAGAAATCTCCCCCAGCCCCCTCCCCACCCCCACAAACCCACAGCCATCGTGTCTATTCCGACTCACAGCGGCCCTAGAGGGCAGAATAAAACGGCTCCCTAGGGTTTCTGAGACTCAATCTTTACATGGAGCGGCTAGTGGGTTCGAACCTGCAGACCTTGCGGTTAGCAGCGCAACACTTAACCCACAGCGCTACCAGGGTTCCTTCTCCTCTCTCTAGTAAATAAAAATCCACTGTCGATTGATTCCCCCCTCCCCCATGTTTTTTCTTCTCTTGTCTTCTTTATACCTGCTCAGAAAGACCATCAAAAAGAAAAGAAAAGAAAAAAAAAAAAAATTCTCTGTAGAGGTATCGAGGTCGCTGCCTGGACGGTTCAGGTCAGTCTTGGCCAACACGTATGACTTAATCACGAGACCTTAATTTTGAGGCTGGTGATTTGAAGGCAGGGGGGATGAAGCCTGCCCTTGAAGGGGGGCAGTGAGGAGTGGGGAGCTCCCCCAACCCTGTCTGCCCTCCCCTACAGAAAGCTAAGGGCTACTGGTCACACAAGTAAGGCTATGACTTGGGGGCAGTGGGGGGGGGACGACAGACAAAGGCTGGGGAATGCTAGGTCTCCTTTGTGCCAATATCTGGAGGAAGGCAGGGTTCTGAGGTGCGTTGGGGGCCAGGGAAGGTTCTGGAAGCTGCAGCTGGGATGTGGGGTACTCAAGCTGGCTGGCCCCAAAGGCCTGCAAGAATTGTAGGGGGGAGGGGGGCTGAGTCCAGGAGGTATATCATGGTTTGGCACATTTCCAGTGCTTTGCCAAAAGCCCCTGGTCCGACGTGCCAGCCGAGAGGTGGGATCCCCATGCCCGGCCAGCCTCAGCCCTTCCTCTGGTCGCCTCAGAGTGACCGGCCCAGGGTCACCCTCTCTTCGCATGGAAGGAAGTTGGAAAAGTTTGGTCCCACGATTTATACGCAAAAAATATATATACTGTCTCTACCTCCATATATATATGCACATAATATATATATAGGAAAAGTTTCAATTGCGTTTGGGGGACCACCAAGGTTGGGGAGGGGAAGTGAGGAAGTCTCCTCCCTGGGGGCATGGGGAGTGAACCCCTTGATTCCCCCCCAAATTCGGGAGCCTTCTCCCACTCCATGTGGCTTTCCAAAGGGGTTTCACATTTTAGGGTAGAGGGGAATGGGAAGGGATGGGCTGGTGTCCAAACACGGTTGTAATTTACGGAAAACTCCTGGTTCGGTTGGAAGCGAGAAACCCTCCTCAGGGTGGGAAGACCCCTCACCTGGCGGAGAAGGGATGGGTGTTAGGGAGCAATGATGGGGCCCCAAGGGTAGAGATGCCCACCTCCCCACCCCCATCTTCCCTGGTCAGGACAGGGACTGGGCACCCAAGAGCCTCCATCTCTTCAGAAAGAGCAGACTCCAGGGATTTGGAGGTTAATAGATCTGGCTTTGAAAGGGCTTAATGTCACTGAGCCCGTTTCCAGGACAAAGACATAAGTTTCTCTGCTCTCTCTCCTGTCCCACCCTCCTCCTCTGCCATGGATGTTCCAAGTCAGTGTCTTCTCTCCCCATCTTCTTGTTCATCTGCTACTGAGTACCTGTCTCCCCGACCCCAAACCCTGGAAGCTGTGCCCAGCATGTAACAGGTGCTCAGCAAAGACTTGTTGGTTACTGAGTTAAAAGGGAAGGGCCGCAAACTTCGTGGCATCCCATACGTCCACGTCTGCTGTCCCCATAATCAGATATGCTCGAGACTGCATATGCTGTCCCCAATGGGTCTGGAAAGTTCTGACAGCCTTCACGGAGTACCAATTGTGTGCCAGACCCCAGGTGGGTCTTTGGGATTATGATTAAAAAAACAAGGGCATGATATAAAATGTTCTAGAAAAATAGTGACTGCCGAACTCCATGTGGAAAATCCCTCCAGTCCTGTGCATCCTCCCTGCAGCCGCTGGGAGGTCACTTCCAAGAGCCCATTTTACAGATGTGGTTCATCAAGGCTTGGGGGGGGGGCAGTTCTTTAAATTTCAACTTTGACTCCTGTGTGCATGGTTCATTCCTTCCAAAGCAGGTGATTTTGTTGTTGATAAGAGTTGGTTGCTAAGGGCTACTGGGATTTGTTTCCGTTGGGTGTTTGGGTTTGGGGGCTGGGTTTTGCACAATGGTAAACAGGGTGGACGCACTATGCCGTAAGTCCACTGGGTATGAGATGTACCAAATGAGGAGCTATGAGAGGAAGCGGGGCACAGCTGGGCAGTCTTATAGGGCTTGGTGGGAATAGGAGGTGGTCCTGTGGTCCAGACCCCTATTCCCCACTTCCTACTCTCCATCCCTGGTTTCAAGCTGAACTAGACATCTGGGGTCTACCCTTAGAGGCCAGGTTCTGGAGGTGGGAGTGGGAACTGAATGTTTTCTCTGGTTAAGGGAGACAGACTTACATATCCCCATCCTACACTCCCCCCCACCCCAGACCAAACCGGGCCTCTCTGGTAAACTCCTATTCATCCTGCAAAGTCCTCTCCAGAAAAAGATTCCTTCACCACTTCCGCTTTCCACCCCCTTCTAGCTCGCCCTCTGGCCTACCCCTGGCCACATTGGGTTTGGGGGCATCTCTGTCCAGCTCCGTGCCCACCAAACCAACCTGGGAGTCCCATGAGGCTTCTTGAAGCAGATCTGCCAGCGGTAGGGCGAGGAGGGGAAGGATTGGAGAGTGGGGGCGGGGTGGGGCGGGGCGGGGGCGGGGGGGGGGGGGGCCGCCTGGCGGCTCACCTGGGCCAGGCCCGCAGCCTCGGGTGCGGCTGTGGGCAGGTCAGTAGGGGTGTCCCGGGTCTTTGGGCCGTTTCAGCTGCACCTTGAGCCTCTTCATGCCGATCTGGAAGCCGTTCATGGCCTGGATGGCGCTCTGCGCGCTGGCGGGGTTGTCAAAGCTCACGAAGCCTGCGGAGACGGGGTGGACGCCGCCATGGTGGGCAACCCAGGCGTCCTCGGCTCGCTCCAGCGCTCGCAGCCCTGGCTTCCCCGCTCACAGGGTCCCTGGATGTGTGCTCGTCCGGGTGGAAGGGCTTGCCGGAGGAGGACATAACAGCAACCCTGGCTTTGTTTTTGACTCTCTTGGACTTGCATGCCTCTGGGGACAGGGCACTCACTCATTAGAGGGTGTCTGGTCTACACCTGGTTTCTCGGCCAAGACTTCCCATCCAGTATGGGGGGCAGGCGGGGTCTCTGGGGGCTATATTCTCCCTCTTTCCCCCCAGGGCTTAGATGACAACCCTTTGTTGGTACAGACATCCTTGTCCATCTAGACTCTTGTCTCTCCATCTGTCTGTCTGTCTGTCTCTCCCTCTGGCGGACAACTTGTCTGTTGTGCCTTTTCCATCTCTCCTTTTCACTCTGTCTTTCCTTCCTCTATTCTCTCTTCCTTCTTCTCAGCCTCCCTCCCTCTTTCTTTCTCTCTCTCCATTTCTTTTTCTTTATATATACCTCTTTCTTCTTTTTAATAGTTCCGTGTGTTTTCGGTAAAAGTTTATACACAGAATGAGGTTCCCATTCAACAATTTCTACATCAATTGTTCAGTGACATCAGTCACATGCAGTGGCATTAGTTACATTCCCCAGAATATGCCAACCTTCCCTTTCATTGCATTCTGGTGGTTCCATTTTCAGTGCTCTAGTTTCCCTGTCCCCTTACCTTCTCATTTTTGCTTTAAAGTAACTGTTGATCTTTTGGTCACATATGGAGGGTTTTTTAATGGTCACACATAGACCGTGTTTATGGGTAATATCCTTTTGTGTGCCAATCTGCTATTTCTCTAGAAGGAGAATCAGTTTTAATTCAAGGTTTAAAGTGTTCCCAAAGTAATAGTTGTCTAGTCTCAACCAGTCCAGTAAGTGTGATCTTTCTAAGAATAAGAGGTTCTGTTCCATGTTTTTCACCTCATTCTATCAGGATCCATCTACTGTGACCCTGATCAGATGGTCTGAAATGTCTTTCTCCCGCGGAGCAGCTGGTAGTTTCGAACTGCTGACCTTGCGGTTCACAGCCCGATTCGTAACCACTACACTACCAGAGCTCCTTTTCTGCAGTACTAGCTGGACACTATCTAGTTCTTCTGGTCTCAGGGTAAATGAGGCTGTGGGTCACATAGGCTGTCAGCCCTGTAGACTAACTTCTTCTCTTAGACTTTGGTCTAACTTCTTCTCTCTCTTGCCTTTGACAAGGAGCGATCTCTCTTTGTATCTTTGTATCTGTCCTTGTATGTATCTTTCTCTTGCTACTGTTTTCTCCTCACCCTCTCTTTCTATCTCACTATCTCTCTGTCTCCCTCTCGCTCTTGGTCTCTGTCTCTTGCAAGTTTCTCTAGCCCCAGTCCTCTCTCCCACCACCATCAAAAAGGGTTACAATTAGTTGGAACCGACTCGATGGCATTTAACAAAAACAACCCATCCTTAAAAGTCTTCCTCCACACCCTTAAGGGTCTACAACTCACACTCATCTCTCCCTGCCACCTCATCATCTTCACCAACCTCCTGGAGACCCACCCAGTGGCAGTAACAGGGCACTCCTGGGGGAGGGGGAGGAGTGGGCAAGGAGGGAGGGAGGTGAAGAGATGGTGGGACCAGGATCGGAGGGTCTTCACTGTCCTGTCCAAACTCATGAGGGACCATGGAAGAGTTGCAGCTAGGGAGCTTTAGACGTTTGCATTTCTCCTATTTCCTCTAATCCCCTCATTTTACAGGTGTGGAAACTGAGGCTCAGAAAAGGCAATATGCCCTCAAGATCATTCTGTTGAAAGCGGCTGGGTGGGTTTTCCTTCCCAACATCCTCCTTCTCCAGGAAGCAGGGTGGAAGCAGAGTGCGGAGGAGGGAGGTTGGGTCCTTAAGGGGGCCACTGATGTGCTGTGCTGTGTGAATTTGAATACGCACTTGACCATTCTGTGCTCCGCTTGCCTCCCCGAGTAAATTAGAACAATTCTCCCCTTCCATGTTTGGGTACTAGGTGTACCCAGGAGGTGTTTAATAAATAGCCAGGCTCTGGTCCTTCAGACAGGACAGTGTGGGGTCATAACCACACTGTCCAGGTTTTAGAATCAGATAGTTCTAATCTAACTTCTGCCTCTTTCCTGCTCTGTGACTTTGGACATATTGCAGCCCCTCTCTGAGTCTTCTTTTTCTCTGTTTCTGAGGACAGTCATCCTGGAAATCCAGGGGGCTTTGCATGCCCTGTCCCTTCTCCTCCCTGCCCTCCCCTCTCCTTTCTCCCCCTCACTCACTCTACACCAATCACATAGGCCTCCTCACTGTTCCTCCAATTCAACAGTGTGGGTCCTGCCTCAGGCCCTTTGCACAGGCTGTTCTCTCTATCTGCAGTGCCTTTCCCTCAAACACCCACATAGTTCTCACCCTTACCCACTAGTCCGTTTCTCTCACAGCAGCCAGAGGGTGCCCATGAGCACCCGAGTCAGGCCTGTCTCTCCTCTGCCCAGAGCCCTCCAACACTCCTACCTCCCTCAGGTAAAAGCCTGCATGTCCTGCTCTGTACCTTCCCTGCCTTTCCCTCCTCTCTCTCTCCCTGGCTCACTCTACTCCAGCTCTTCACTCCACCTCTAATTCACTATGGGCAGTCCTACCTCAGGGCCTTTGCATGGGATGTTCTCCCTGCCTGGAATATCCTTCCCTCAAATTTTCCCATGGTTGGCTTATGGTCCTTCAGGTCTCAGTTCAAATGCCACCTCCTCAAAGAAGGTGGCATCCCAACCTTATCAGTCTATTTCCTTACCTGACCTATATATATATATATATATATAGCCTTGTTTGCTTTTTTTCTGTCCCTCCCTTTAGACCTGTGCTTTCTCATAAGGTAACCATTGGCCTCATGTAGCAAGTTAAATTTCAATGAACTAAAATCTCAATAAATAAAAAATTCATTGGCAGCAGTAGGCACCTCTCCAGGGTTCAGTAGCCACATGGGGCTGGCGGCCATTGTGTCAGGCAGCACGGATGTAGAAGGTTGCCATGATTGGAGAAAGGTCTATCGGACAGTGCAGCAAGACTGTCAGATCGCAGAGGACAGGGACTTGGGTACTTTCATTCACTGCTCTGCTGCCAGCCCCACAGTGCCTGGCACACAGTAGGTGCCTGATATGAGTGTATGTGTGTGTGCGTTGAATGAAGGGTAGATGGGTGAGCGATCTTAGAAATGGTGCATGGAATATGCTGGCATATCATTTCTGTTTGTTAGGTGCTGCTAAATCCGTTTCAACTCATAGCAACCCTATGTCCAGAGTAGGTGCCTGATATAAATAGAGTTTTGTTGTTAGGTACCATCAAGTTGGTTCCCACTCACAGCCACCCTGTATAGGGTTTCCGAGGAGTAGCTGGTGAGTCTGAACTGCTGGCCTTTCGATTCAAACTGACCTTTCAGTCAGTCCACTGCTTAACCTACAACACCACACCAGGACTTGACCTGCAGCTGCTAAGTCAGTTCCAACTCAAAACGACCTTATGTGCAACAGAACAAAACATTGCTTAGTCCTATGCCGTCTTCACAGTCGTGTATATATATGTATGTGTGTTGTTCTGGTTCTGACTCATAGCAACCCTCTATAGGGTTTCCAAGGAACAGCTGGTGGGTTTGAACTGCTGACCTTGCGGTTAGTATTTCAGTGTTTATCCTATACAGCTACACCAGGACTCACGTATACACATGTATATGTATGTGTGTGTGTGTGTGTGTAATTGTAGTGGTGGTTGTGTGCTGTGGAGTCAGTTCCCACTCATAGTGACCCTGTATAAGGTTTCTAAGGCTGTAAACCTTTACGGGAGCAGAAAGCCTCATCTTTCGCCCACGGAGCAGTTGGTAGATTCAAACAACTGACCTTGTGGTTAACAGTCCAATGTGTAACCTACTATGCTACCAGTTGTTATTGTTGTTAAGTGCCGTCGAGTCGATTCCGACTCATAGCGACCCTATATAGGCTTTCCAAGGAGCTGCTGGTAAGCTTGAACCACCAACCTTGCAGTTCAAATGGCTTTGCAATCTGATGCATTAGCCCACAGCGCCACACCAGGACTCAGCTATGCTACCAGAGCTCCACATATATGTTGTTGTCATTATGTGCCGTATAGTCGATTCCGACTCATAGCGACCCTGTACAGGGTTTCTGAGGCTGTTAATCTACAGGAGCAGAAAGCCTCATCTTTCCCCTGCAGAACAGCTGGTAGTTTCGAACTTCTGACCTTGCAGTTCACAGCCTGATTCGTAACCACTACGCTACCAGAGCTCCTTCCACACATATAGATTATATATATATGTATTTTATGACTGAGTCATGAAATGATGCATACTAAAGTAGCTGAAACAGTAGGCACTTGATATATATATGAGAGAGCTTCAAAAGGTTCACAGATAAATTCCATTATCTTTTCATTCCATTCTTCCACACTTTTTGAAGCCCTCTTTGTGTGTGTGTTCATGAATGAATGAATGGGTCTTAGAAATGATGTGCGGAACACACAGAGATATACACTGTATATATTTGTTGAATGAATGAATGAACACATCTTATAAGTGATGCCTGGGAGCCGCCTGCACACAGAGGGCACTCAATAAGTGCTCACTCCAATTCTGTATGTGATTGTTTGGGACTCTGATCTGTTTCAGGGTGAGGGCATGGGGCAGGGTGTGGGTAGGAGAGGCGCCTGCGGCGAGACTCACCGAAACACTTGCTCTGGTTGGTGGCCCGATCCATAAACACCTTGGAGGAGATGATATTGCCGAAGGGCAGGAACATCTGGGTCAGCTCCGTGTCTCCAAACTCCTGGGGGAGGTGGTAGATAAACAGGTTACAGCCTTCGGGACCTGCAGGTGGGGGAGAGAAAGACATAAAGCCCCCAAGGAGAGGAGGCAGACCCCCCAGGGAGGGGCACGGATCCAGAGGCCACGTCTGGCGTCTCCAGCTATTGGGAGAGGGTGCCCGTGACACCCCGACTGGAGGATCGTGGAAATGGTGGGGATGGGGAAGGCAAGGTGCACTGAACCGCCATCTTCAAAATCCCAAATTTGGATGCTCAAAATCACTGGTAATTCCCTCACCCAGAGATGATGCCCAGACTCGGGGAAAGCTCCCAAACTCCGGTGGTCTCTGTTACTTATTAGTTGGCTCGGACGCAAGGTGACCTCAGTATAACAGAATGAAATGCTGCCCCATTCTGCACCATCCTCCCAGTTTCTGGCTTGTTTGAGCTCCCTGCTGCAACCATGAAGGGTTTTACTCATTAGCTCTGGCCTTCTACTTTACCAAACGTGATGTTCTTTGATTTCTAACCCACTGTCCTTGAGGCGATTCAGACCCACAATGACCCTATAGGGTAGAGTAGAACTGCCCCGTAGGCTCTCCAAGTCTGTCATCTTTACAAAGCAGATTGCCACAGCTTACCTTTGGTTTCTAAAAACAAAGCAAAGCAAAAGAACCCCAAACTTATGGCTGCTGCGTTGATTCCAACTCATAATGACCTTGATCTCTAGCCTACCCTAAGACCCAGATAATTCCCCAATCCCAGGCCCCATTGTTGTTAAGTGCCGTCGAGTCAGTTCTGACTCACAGTGACCCTGTACAGGGTTTCCGAGGCTGTAAATCTTTACAGGAACAGAAAGCCTCATCTTTCTCCTGCAGAACAGCTGGTAGTTTCGAACTGCTGATGCTGAGGTTAACAGCCCATCTTATAACCACTATGCTAAAGCACAAGGAGTTGTAGCATTTTACAATACAGATGACCCAAAGCCCTGGATAGTCCCAAACCTACTGCTCATCCAACAACTCAAGATTACGTTCTTCTGTGTCCACATAAAAACAGGGGTAGCCCCCAAATCACAGACAGATCCCCCAATTTTAGAAAAGACAAAATCCAAGATTGTTGTTGTTATTGTTAAATGCCATCAAGTAAGTCGGTCCCAACCCATAGTGATCCTGTATAGGGTTTTTGGCAGGCTTGAACCACTAACCTTGCAGTTAAGACTGACTTTGCAGTCCAGTGCGTTAACCCACAATACCATATCAGGAGTCCAATTTGGTTTTCAACTATGGGTTGGTTCCAACATGACTGATACATTCAGGAATCATTTGAGTTTACGAGGAACGCGGTGCTTGATTCTGTAGGATTTTGACCCCTAGGGGCACCAGGTGAATACAGAAAAGCACACCAGCTGAACCCAACCTCTTGAGAAAATAAAAATGCACATATACCCCCTCCTCCGTCCACAAACTGGAATTCCACCTATGGCATGTGGAAACTTCAGGCCTTTTCCATGGTAGAGAATAATGTTTATTGCAGTACATACAACGTACATATTTTTTCTAAGCTACCATTTTTATTATATTTACCCCTCCCCCCCTTTTAAAATGTGTGACTAATGAAGTTTTTGGGTTTTGTGCTCACATGCCCTGGAGTTTATACTGTGCAATTCTGTACAATGAGTTGATTTTTAAGAATACATAGATCACCTCCTGGCAGTGCTGATTATGAAGGGGAAAACCAAGACCAGGGCCATCCAGAAAGTAAGTGACCCAAGGCCACTGAGGTCTCAGTGACGTTTCACTAAGGCTATCCATGTTGGCGGCACATGGGTGCTGTGAGGATCACACCAAAGACCCCCAGCACATGGGGGGGCTGTTTCCAAATGCATGTGTTTTTACTGTTGTTGATTTTAATATCTGATCAATGACAGGGTGTCAGCTGGTTGGGGGGACTTGGGAGATCTTCCTCCTTTCAGTCTAGGATTGCTTCTAAAACAGCTCTGCTATCCTGTCCACAGGAGAAATAGAGCAGATTCTCAAAGAACTCAGTCTCCTGGCCAGGCCATTGGGACTCCACAGGACTCCTGGTGTGGCGCTGTAGGATCAGCACTGGGCTGCGAACCACAAGGTTGGCTGTTCAAACCCACCAGCTGCTCCTCAGAAAACCATACAGGGTCACTGAATCAGAACCGACTCTATGGCATTTAACAAGAAGGGACTCCACCGAGGCTGTGGGCCTACTTCATGTCAGGTGCCTCATTTCCCAATATAAGCTACTGGCACCGATGGTCGCCCACTTTGCAGATGGAAAAACTGAGACAGCGCTCATGATGTCACAAGTCACAAGGAGATGAGTTTGAACCTGGGTTGTGGGACTCCAGACTTTAACCCTTTCCCCACAAAGTCTTTACCAGGAGAGCCTTCACTGCCCCTCTCCCGCCAAGCTCCAAACTGGTTTCCTCTCTCCAAACCTAGAGGATAGGCCAGTGTGGGTGGCTGCTGGAGGCTGGCGGCTCCGCGAAGGATGCTCTAAGAGTTTTTTACCTGCAGCCCTCCCCACCACCTGCGGCGGGGGCGGGGCCTTCCGGAGGAGGAAACTGAGGCCCAGAGAGAGTAGCCCCGCTGCCCAGGAGCACCAGCGCGCCGGGTCTGCGCTGGAATTCGCACCCAGGCCCGTGCAGCTCCCTGGGGCCTGCAGGAGCGGGTGGGGCAGGGCTGCGTCCGGGGAGGTCGCGGCCGCCTCACCTTCTCGCTGCTGCTGCTGTAGGAGGGGCGGTGGCTGGGGCACGCTGTGCGCGATGGGCGTGATGGCCGCGGTGGGGTACATGGCTGCGGAGACCGGGGAGACACGCCGAAGCGGCTGTGAGGCCCGGGCCGCAACCAGCGCAGCGGGGAGGGGCCGCTGCGGGGCGGGGCCACAAATGAGGGCGGGCCGGGCCGGGCCGGGCCGGGGCCTCGGAGGGGTGGAGCCACGACACAAGATGGGCCTGAGCTGGGCCACAGCAGGGCGGCGCTACGATGGAGGGCGGGATGCAGTAGGGCGGGTCCAGGGAGTTGTGGGCGGGGCCACAGTGTCTAGGGACCAGGGTGCCGGGGAGGGGCTACAATAGAAGGCGTGTCTAGCACATCAGACTTAGGCCAAGTTGGAAAGTGGGTCTGAGGGAGGGGCCAGAGCAGGACTTGATGGGCGGGGCCAGATCGAAGAACCTGGCCAGGTGGACATGTATAGGCTTCCTGGGAGGGTGGATCTAGAATATTAGGCTTGGAGCCAGAAAAGAACTTGGAGAGTCACCTCAAGAAACTGAACCGAGAATTGAGCCACTCCGTTTTCGTATGGAGGATGGGATGTTGTGGACGGGCCAAGATGGAGGGCGGGTCTGGGGATGGGGAATCTTGTTGCCGGGTGGGTAGGATGTTGTAGGCGGGGCCATAGTGAAGGGCGGGCCTGGAGGTAGGGCCATGGCGGGTTTACCGGAAACAGCCACATGGGGAGTTGGGTTGGTAGGGCGGGAGGGGAGAAGAGATGAGGGAGAACTGTCCAGAGGGCAGGGTCATGCTGGAGAGTGAGGCCAAGACAGACTTAGGAAGGGGATGGGGGCAGGACTTGGGGGCGGAGCCATAGGAGTGGGGCAGGTCAGAGGGGCGGGCCATGGCAGGAGTTGGGCACTGCCAGAGGACCAGCCTTAGGAAGGACCAGAGGTCGGGGCAGGGTATTGAGAGAGGCAAGGGAAGGGCTGGGCAGGCTTAAGAGGTAGGCACTGTCAAAGGGTGACAAACAGGAGGGTCAACAATGAACATGAGGGGGTGGACTTAGAGGTAGGCTAAGGTGTGGGCGGGGCCACATTGAGGGCCAGGCCTTGAAACCTCAAGACAAAGGTGGGGTCAGAGCGGACCATGAGGGGTGGGGCCAGACGGGAGGCGTGGCTAGGTGTGGGAAAAAAGTTGAGGGTACTCGATGACACTTAACAGGGGCGGGGCGAAGCTGGTCATGGGGGCGGGGCCATCCGGCCACTCTTACCTGTGTACTGCTGGACTCCAGAGAAGGCAGGATGGAGGGTCTCCGCCACGGTGGGGCTCTGAGCTGTGGGCAGAGAGGTCTGAGTGGAGCAAGGGCGCAGGAAGACTCTCTCCTCAACAGCCAGAGGGAGGGCAACGAACAACTGCCCCAGCTCCACCTTTCGCGCTAAGCTTGTTACTGGTATGAGGTAACTGAGGTGCATAGGGCTGCTCAGACAAGAAATGACAGAAGCTAAACTGAAATCAGGGTTTGTCCAACTCCAGAGAGGTTTAACCTTCACCTCTATCTCTGTCTCCCCATCCCAACCCCCTCACCTCTCAAAGGGACCCCTTTCCTTCTCCCCTCTAGTCTCTGGATTCCTCAGACTCTATGTATCCTTTCCCATCTCCACCCCTCTCCCTGGTCCTAGAAGGTTCAAGCTGCCTTTAAAGTTGGACCAGGAGAGGTGGGTGAGGTGGGAGAGCTTATCCAAGCCACCAAAACGGTTCTTAACAACAGGGGCGGAGCTGGTCATGGGGACAGGGAAACATTAAGTTAAATATGTCTGCTTGCATGGAGAGAGCGTGGTAGACAATGGGAGGGGTGACTATAACAAGGTAGTATGAAAGGGTTACTATGTGGTGATGTTACATGAATCTGTGAAAGTCAATCAGAAAGCATTGCTACAAAATCATGTTGTTGTTAGGTGCCATTGAGTGAGTTCCAATTCACAGTGACCCTATGCACAACAGAATGAAACACTACCCAATCCTATGCCAACCTCACAACTGTTGTTACGTTTAAGTCTATTGCTGCTGTCACTGTGCCAATCCATTTTGTTGGGGATTGTCCTCTTTTGCATTAACTCTCCACTTCATCTGGTATGATGTCCTTCTTCAGGGACTGGTCCCTCTTGATCACATGTCTGAAGTGTGAGAGATGATGCCTCGCCATCCTGGCTTCAAAGAAGCATTCTCACTGCACTTCTTCCAACACAGGTTTGTTTGTTGGTTCATCTAGCAGCACTCCATGGTACTTCTCATAGTCTTGACCACCACCGTAGTTCAAATGCATTGATTCTCCTACGATCTTCCTTATTCATGGTCCAACTTTCACATGCATATAGGCAATTGAAGCTACCATGGATTCTATGATTTTGTATCAAGCAATTGCACAAGAATCATAGAAACCTTTATTAAACAAAAATATCAAAATGTGAAGCTATTGCTTCTCGACATATCCTCCTCTAGGTCTATACGCTTCTGAAGGTTGTGTTTCCTTCTCTCTAACCCTTCCCCAAAAGAATTCTGTACTCTCCGATTTACACCACATCAAGATGGCAGCTTTGGCATCCTTGGGAGACTCAAATTGTGTTCCTTTTAAATGTTCTTTCAGTTTGGAGAACAAAAGAGGTCTGAAAGAGCAAGATGGGTGTTGTAGGGTGGATGGGTAAGGTTTACCAATGAAACTCTCATTGGACAACCCTAGTTCCCCTCGAAGAATAAGTAGATGCATTGCCTGGATGGAAAACTAATTCTTCTGCACAACTTTCCTGGTCTTCTTCTCACTGATGCAATTTTCTATTTTCTTAAGACTTCTTCCTAATAAGCCCCTGTGATTATACTGTGTCCTTCAAGAAAATCAATCAAGATGTCCCCTTTGGGATCCCAAAAAGCAGTTGCCATAATCTTCCGAGCTGACCTCTTTGCATTGAATTTAATTGGCCCCACAGATCCCCTATAAAACCACTGTTTCAATGGAATCTTTTTGTTTTGAAGTCACCCAAGACTGAGACAAGAACTTGTCTGCAACCTCCCACTGATCGCAGAGACATGTTTAAACATGTTTTGTTGGGCCTAAACCTGTGCATGTATGAACTGGAAAGCTAGTAGCAATGCATGTGGTTGACCCTCAGTGTGGTGCTGTAGGATGAGCACAGGAGTGCTAACCATAAGGTTGGCGGTTCAAACCCACCAGCTGCTCCTTGGAAAACCTATGCAGGGTAGCTGTGAGTCAGAACCGACTCCATGGCACTTATCAACAACCACAACAGCATATAATGGGAAATCCTGGTGTGGCGCTGTAGGATAAGCACTGGACTGGTAACTACAAAGTCGGCAGTTCAAACCCACCAGTTGCTCTTGGAAACCCTGTACAGGGTCTCTATGAGTCTCAAAGACTCGACAGCACATAACATCAACAATGACAATCTATAGTCAGGTGATACAGAACTACACACACGCAGATTTTTGTGTAAAAAGTAGCAAAACATAAATCCAATTTGAAGTCCAGTTAATTGTGTGATGTGCAATGGAGCCCCTGGGTGGCGCAAATGCTTAAGTACTCATCTACTAAACAAAAGGTTGGCAGTTTAAACCCACCTAGAGGTGCTTCGGAAGAAAGACCTGGCGAAATGCTTCTGAAAGTTCAAAGCCTTGAAAAGCCTACGGAGCACACGGGGTCACCATGAGTCACAACTACAACTAACCAACAACAACAATGTCAGTTTCCTGTTCTTGACAATGTAGGGTGTTTATGGAAGACAACAGTGCATTGGGACAGGGGTGGGAGGAGCTGAGAAAAGGTACACAGGATCTGTCTTGACTATTTTTGCAACTTCTTGAGATCCTTTAATTCTTTCAAGGTAAGGAGAGATGGAGAAAGAGATGAGGGCATGGAGAGATAGAGCAGCTGAGGACTCTAGACTCATGGAAAGAGAGAGGCTGTGTGCTGGCAGCCAGGAGGCAGGCTTGCAGAATGTGCCCTTTGGTTGTTTAAATGATTATTCCTGAGTGTTTTTGTGTACACCCCCTCAAAACAAACAAACAAACAAAGGGAATACTGTTGAATGATGATGCATGGAAGAGAGTGTAATCATTGCAATGAAACAATGAGAGTAAAACTGATGTCCCCCATGTAAACTATCACTCAATTCACAATAAAAACTTTTAAAAGTTGGTGATGGGCAGATGGTGCCTTACTTTACCACATAAAGGATTTGGGAGGTGTTTGCTCTAAAATCATGAGTGTACGACCAAGCTCAAATTAGTGTGTGGTCATCGGTGAATGGAGTCCTGGTGTGGTGTTAAGGGGTAAGCACTGGCCTTCTAATCACAAGGTCAGTGGTTTAAACCCACCAGCCATTTCTTGGAACCCCTATACAGGGTTGCTGTGAGTAGGAACTGATTCAATTGCCTGTAATAACAACAACATTACTGAATAAATGAATGAATGCATACATGTCTTCATACCATCCCTAATGCTTGCTGAAAGTGAAGAGGACTTGAAACATTATACTGATGAAGATCAAAGAGCACAGCCTTCGATATGGATTACATCTCAATGTTAAGAAAACAAAAATCCTCACCACTGGACCAATAAACAGCATTCTTATCAATGGAGAAAAGATTGAAGTTGTCAAGGACTTCATTCTTCTTGGATCAACTATCAACACTCGCGGAAGCAGCAGTCAAGAGATCAGACGACGTATTGCACTGGGCAAATCTGCTGCACAGGAACTTTTTAAAGTATTGAAGAGCAGAGATGTCAGCTTGAGGACTAAGGTGCACCTGACCCAAGCCATGGTATTTTCAATAACCTCATATGGATGTGAAAGCTGGACAGTGAATAAGGAAGATCGTAGAAGAATTGATGCCTTTGAGTTGTGGTGTTGGAGGAGAATACTGAAAGTGCTGTGGACTGCCAAAAGAACCAATAGATCTGTTTTGGAAGAAGTACAAACAGAGTGCTCCTTGGAGGCCAGGATGGCTAAGCTTCGTCTCTCATACTTTGGACATATTGTCAGGAGGGAACAATTGCTGGAGAAGGATGTCATGTTTGGTAAGGTGGAGGGTCAGAGAAAAAGAGGAAGACCCCCAACGAGATGGATCAGCCAGGTGGCATCATTGATGGCATCAAGTGTGGCGGCGGTAGTGAGGTTGGCCCAGGATCGGACATTGTTTCGTTCTGCTGTGCATAGGGTCACTATGAGTCGGTTCTGACTCGATGGCACCTGACAACAACAACAACAACCATCCCTAATGGTAACAATGAATAAATCCACTGTCATCAAGTCAACTAGACTCTTAGGCGACCCTATAGGACAGAGTAGACCTGCTCCTTAGGGTTTCTGAGGCTGTAAATCTTTACGGGAGCAGAGAGCCTCATCTTTCTCCTGCAGAGCCGCTGGTGGGTTTGAACCATCAACCGTGCTAATACTGAGTTCCACTGTGACACTAGGAATCCTTGTACCAATTCATAGCTAAGATTCTACATGCCCCGACCCCTGTGACAGGCAATTTGACATACTGGCTCAGTTGTTACTGCATCCCTGTGAGGCGTGTAAAGCTTATCTGCCCCATGTCCCACATGAGAAAACTGAGGCTCTGAGACTTAAAGAGACCCAGGGTCACAGAACTGGGATGTGAACCCAGGAATGTCTGGATGCATGGTTCCAGAAGCACTGTCCCTATCTCCCCAACTCTCCCATTTACCTGGGTAGGGCACGAGGCCATTGGCATACACGGTCTCCAGGGCCGGGTGCCCTCCAGGAAAGGGCACAACACCTGCAAAGCCGTTGGTGATGGGCGTCACTAGACCTGGCACAGCGGCAGTGCCAAGCAGTGGGGGCGAGTGCAGCCCTGCAGAGCAGAAGGGGGTCAGGAAGACCTTGGCTATGGATCATCCCTGCCCACCCTTTCTGCATCCCTTGGGGGTCTCACCAGAGGCAGGAGCAATGGGCGTGGCAGGCAGCCCATTCAAGCTGACAGCGCCAATCTGCTGGATGTGGCAGGGTGAGAAGGCCATGCTGGGGCTCAAGTAGCTGCCCGAGGTGGAAAGGACTGTCGTCTGCTGCTGCATGAGCTACAGGAAGGGAGTTATCAGGCAGAACCGGGGTGAGAGCACAGCTCAAGGGGGACTTAGGGTTAGGGTCAGGGATAGGTCAGGAATTGGGGTTCCAGCCTGGGGTTAGGGCTCAGCCTGTGATCATGATTTAGTTGGGCTGGGTTCAGAATCAGGACCGAGTTAGGAATTGGGGCTCAGCCTGGGGTTAGGACTCAGTTAAGAATCAGGGTTCAGCCTGGGATCCAGATTTAGGAATCAAGGCTCAGCCTGGGACCAGGGCTCAGTCTGAATCTGGGCTAAATCAGAAATCAGGGCTCAGCCTGGGATTAGGGCTCAGTTAGGAATCAGGGCTAAGCCTGGGATTAGGGCTCAGTTAGGAATCAGGGCTAAGCCTGGGATTAAGGCTCAGTTAGGAATCAGGGCTAAGCCTGGAATCAGGGCTCAATTAGGAATCATGGTTTAGCCTGGAATCAGGGATCAGTCAAGAATCAGGGCTCAACCTGGGACCAGGGCTCAGTCTGAGGTTGAGACTCAGTCTAAGAACAGGTCCCAGTTAGAAACTGGGGCTCAGCCTGGGATCAGGGCTCAGCCTTGGGGTTCAGTACAGGGCTCAGCCTGACTTGTAGGATCAGCTTGGGGTTCTATCTGTCCAGAGTTGGGATTCTCCTGGGTTCAGGTCTCAGTTTATAGTTGGGGATTCATCAGAGTCTGAGACTCAGGAACCACCCTGGCATTTGGGGCTTGACCATAGGCAGCACTGGACCCTGAGTCAGAGAGATTTGACCAAGAAACAGGAATATGTGCACAGAGGCAGAGCCCTCCCACAAGGAATGAATGGACTAAGTCCAGGGTGGGGGATCACCAGGGACGGGGGCACTCACAGCCTGGGCGTAGGCACTGTAGGGGCTGAAGGGCAGAGTGAGGGAGGGCGTCAGGATGCCCAGCTGGCCCACCATCTGCTGCATGCGCCGCAGCGTTCGCTCCTTGTCCGTGTCTGCAAACTTGACCACCAGGCTCGAGGAGGCGCCCTGCAGGGAGGGAAATATGGGTGGAGGTAGCCAGGACTCTGGGTCCCTGGAATCATTCTGGCCCAGCTCCCTGGGCTGAGATATCCCCCCCAGTCCCCAGCCACAGGACCTGGAGCCACCGTGACACTATCCTGAAGATCAGTGTCTGGGACCCCCAGGATGACTGGGCAGCACACGTGGAGAGTTCAGCCCCAGGGGAAGCGTCTGATGCACAGATGGAGGGCCCAGAGTAGGTGAGAGTCCAGCCCCAGTTTGTTGTACCCTGCCCGGGTGGACAGAGTCCAGAGGCAACAGAAAAGCAGGCTGAGCCAGGACAGGAAGTGACGGGTTGACCGTGTGTGGGCCAATGGTAGGTAGCCTCCCTCCCAGGTGAGCACAGAACCAGCCCTGCAAGGAGGGAGCCCCACTTTCCTGGTGTACCCACACTGTGCTTCTCTGGCTGGGATGATGGGGGACAGCCTGAATTTGTCCCTGACCACCCCTCTCCCCATAACACCACAGCTAAGGGCAGCTTCTACTCACTGGCATAGTCTGGCTACCATGCAAGGCATGGATGGCCGCTTGCGCCTCTGTGTGAGAAGAAAACTTCACGAAGGCACAGCCTGCTCGGAAGAAGGAAAGAGGTGAAGGTTAGGGGTCTCTCCAGGGAGAGCACATGGGAGAGAGAACTGGGAGCCTGGATCAGACACACTCAGCCAGGGAGACACAGCCAGTATCTGTGCAGACAGACAGCTGGACAATCAGACAGAAAAAGAAAGACAGCCAGCATTTGTGCAGACAGAGGGACCATTGGACAGAAAAAAAGATCAGACAGGAACCAGATCAAACAGACAGTCAAAAGAGTTGGCCAGTCAGCCAGCAGAAAGAGAGCCACGTGTTCAAACAACTGGACAACTAGGCAGAAAAATCAGACAGTCAGACAACCACATGGACAGACAGACACAGAGTCAGAGAGTGAAGCAATAGAAAGACGACCGACACTTGTTCAGAAAGGCATCTGAACAATCAGACAGAAAGACAATGAGATACCTGTGGAGTTAGATGATCAACCATTCATTCTTTCATTCATTCATTCCATCAGAAAGTCATCCAGCTGGACAGAGAACTACGCAGCCAGACCATCTGTGGGTCTGCCCACAGTGAGATGGACAAAATGAGGTGGGGAGAAGGCAGTCGGGTAGGTGAAGAGGAGGCTTACAGAACATCATTAGCCACTGACCACAGGAAAGCAGACATTTACCATCGGACCCGCAGGCCCCATCCAGCACGGGAGCTGAAAGATACAATCCTGTGGGCAGAGTCAGGTGGAAACCCTCAGACCCAGAAAGACAGAGTCATGTGACCAGAGTGAGGCCGATAGAGATCAACCTCCACCAGATAGGGTCCAGCAAGCGAGTCAGTCAGATAGACAGACAGAGACACCCAAACACAGACAGGTTGGGCAAGGCCATCAGACAGATGGAATTGCATGTGAGACCCAGGCAGCCTTCGGGGGTGATGAACATGTTTGGCACTAGATGGTGGGGATGGCTGTACTACTTTATGAATCCACCCAATGTTACTGAATTATGCGCTTTCAATGGATGGCTCTTCCTGAGGGGCAGTGAGCATATGCTTATGGTGTGTGTGTGTGTGTAGGCGGGGGAACAACTCAGAAAAAGACAGTGAAGGTGGTTACACAACTTGAAGACTGTAGTCAGTGTCCCTGAACCGGACATAGAGAAACTTGAATTGGGAGTACTTTTGCAGTGCGTATTCTCAACAACAAGATTAAATAAATAAAAATTTTAAATAAAGAAATAAGAGAACAAACATGATGGCAGATCCAGTAGACGTGCAGTGAGGGGCTCCATCACCAACAACACAGAATACCAGACCAGGCAGGCTCAGGGGATGGTGCCAGAACTCTGAACCACATTTAAAGGAATATTTAGAAGGTTGGAAGGCTTACAGCTAGGGGAATTTGTAGCAGAAGCAAGAAATCCATTGCTTTCTAATTCAAGACGCTCAGCTGCTCCCGGAGCCGCCATCTTGGGCGAGACCAATCAGGGGAAGGATCAGAGCAGCCACAGACGCCTGACAGAACCGCGGAGACAAAGGTATGGACATTCTTTAATTTTGAATCTGTTCACTAGTCTCATGCTGTCTGTGCACCTCCATTATGATGACTAGAGAGGGTCCTGAGTGAATGGACATCACACCCCACCCTGGAGGGTTCTACTTCACATGCGCATAGATCTCCTCAAAATTTAAAGTGACAGTTTTCACTTAAAACCAAACGGCAGCACAAAACGGCCACAGCTGGCCCAGAACAGTTTATCACTCAGAAAAAGGCCTGAACGGGGATTGTGGAGTGGGACAGGCAGACTAAAAAAGAAATAGGCCAAAAATTAAATCCTGAGTTACATCACAACGACCAACAGCAGCATCGTAAAATTTCTCAGGAAGAAGGGAAGCCCATCTCCTGATCACATCTACTTGGAGGCAATTAAGGCCACAGATAACTCCTGAATACACCCAAAAAATAGAAGCAGATGACCATATCAGCACATGTCCAGAAACGAGATAAAGTGACTGAGACAAATGAGCTGGAAGTAGACCTACACTCCATACTGGA